ATCTGAAGCAGACTCCAGGCTCTGTGCTTACAGCAGAGAGCCCAACATGAGGCTAGAACTCATGAACTGTGAGATCATGACCTGAACCGAAGTCGGGGGCTTAACCGACTGAGCCACTCAGGCACCCCAAATCTTTTTTTTTTTTTTTTAAAGAAAAACCCTATGCCCAATGTGGGGTTCAAACTCACAACCCTGAGATCAAGAGTTGCATGCTACCCACTGAGCCAGCCAGGTGCCCCAAGTGCATAAATCTTAAGTCCAAGTTCACTTAATTTTCACAAACTGAGAATGTCCATGTAGTATCTAAATCAAGAAATGAAATGACTAGTCACCCCAAGAAATTGCCTCTGGTGGCCTGTTCCAGTCACTCTTCAACCCTTTTTCCCTGTTGAGCAGTTCTATTTTGCATACTAAATATTTTAGTTGTTTGTTTTATTTATAATGTCTCCCTCACCAGAATGTAAGTTTCACGAGGGCAGAGATCTTTGTTCTGTTTTGTCAAGTGCTATATCCCCTGCTTCTTGACCTGTGCGTAGCATACAGTTATCGCTCAGTAAATATTTCTGAAACAAATGAATTAAACTTTGTAAGGAGGAGTGCTAAGAAATAAACCTAAAAACCAACAGATGAATGGATACAGAACATGTGGTCTGGGGCACCTGGGTGGCTCAGTCGGTTGAACGTCCGACTTCGGCTCAGGTCATGGTCTCTGGGTCTGGGTCTGTGAGTTCAAGCCTCGCGTCGGGGTCTATGCTGACAGCTCAGGGACTGGAGCCTGCTTCGGATTCTGTGTGTGTGTCTCTCTCTGCCCCTCCCCCACTCATGCTCTGTCTCTGTCTCTCTCTCTCTGTCAAAAATAAACATCTAAAAAAATTAAAAAAACAAAAAAGAACATGTGGTCTATCCATGTAAGGGAATTTTATTTTGCCTTAACAAGGAATGAAGGACTGATACCTGCTACAATATGAATGAGCCCTGGAAACACTATGCTAAGTGAAAAAAAAAAAACAAAAAACGGACACAAAGGGCCACATAGTGGATGATTCCATTTACATGTAATGTCTAGAATAGGCAGCTCTCTAGAAACAGAAAGTAGATTAGTGGTTGCTTAAGGCTTGGGCAGGAGAGAATGTGAATGACTGTTTAATGGGTACAGGTTTCCTTTTGGGGGGTAATGAAAATGTTTCAGAACTAGATACAGGTGACTGGCTACGCAACGTTGTGAATGTACAAAATGACACCGAATTGTATACTCCAAGATGGTTCATTTCATGTTATGTGAATTTCACCTCAGTAGGCCAAACTTTAAAAAATCCTAAGAAGGACAAAACTTCTCCAACTCCTTTTCCTTCGCCAGCAGAAAGTAGATTCTGGTAAGTGGAGGATCCTGTGTTTGAGGAGGGTGATGGATATGTAGGCATCAATTTGGAGTGACCGGACTAGGCTACCCTTCTCTGTATAGGAAGGGGAGAGAGGATTTCTAGCCATAGGAACTGGAAGACTGGAGCCACTCAACAGCAAAGTTGAGTGAAGGTAGGAGTGGATGGAGGAAAAGATGTAGACGGTGCCAGGCTAAGAGAAGAAACTGGAGACAAATCACTTGACTGGGATTCCTAAGCAAAATGCAGCCCTCTGTGCTGTAAGGATCATTCCTGAATACAATGGGCAATGTTAATGAATACAGTACTGTGGAGACAGGTTTGAAAACTCTTCAAGTCAGGGGAAGGAAAGACTTCTGAGTCCAGGGAGATAAGGTGTTGTAGTCAGTTGAATGGTGGTCCCCCCAAAGATGTGTCCAGGTCCTAAACCCTGGAACTTGTGAGTATGACCTCGCTTGGTCGAAAGGTCTTTGCAGATGTCATTAAGATAAGGATCTCAAGATATGGAAATCACCCTGGATTATCTGGGTGGGTGCTAAATTCCAATGACAAATGTCCTTACAAGAGCAAGGCACAGAGAGAGGAGAGACCGACAGAAGAGAAGACACGACACACAGAGTTGAAGGTGTAACTATGGATGGAAAGATTGGAGTGATGTGGCCACAAGCCAAGGAATGCTAGGTAACGTTGGGAACCGCCAGAAGTTACTAGGAGTATGGCCCTTTGGACACCTTGATTTTGGACTTCTGGCCTCCAGACTCTGAGAGTTTAAATTTCTGTTGTTTGAAGCCACTAACTTTATGGTAATTGTTACAGTGGCCCCAGGAAACGAATACGGGCTTGCATCAGTGAACCCATAACACCACAGGCCCAAAGTGGAGTCACTTGCCCCCCATGAGAGCAAACCAAGACTCCGTTTCAACCTCTTCCAGGGGTGTTTTTTTTTTTTTTTTTTTAAAGTAATCTCTACACCTGATATAGAGCTCAAACTCACAACCCTGAGATCCACAGTTGTCAGCTCTACCGACTGAGTCAGCTAGGCACCCCAGGAATGTGGTCTTTTAACAGTCAACCTGAAAATTCCAGACCAGCACGTAATTTGCATGATAAAAAAAACCCTGCCCTGCCCTTCTCCGCAAAAAGAAGTCGTCCTGGCTTGAAAACAATCCTTCTTTTCTTTTGCTGATACTTCCTTGCCCCACCACCCGCCCGCTTATAAAAACCTTCCATTTTGTGCAATTTTCTCTCTCTACTTGCTAGATGCGATGCTGCCTGGTTCAAGAATCACTTAATAAAACCAATTAGATTTTCAAATTTACTCGGTTGGATTTTGGGTTTTTTTAAACACTTAACACGTTGGAGGTGAAGCCACACGCGGAGCCAAGCGTTTAGGTCCCCTGGGGATCCAAGGGGTAGCGAAGATACCTTTGTGTCCTTGAGAATGAACTGGTGGTCCTCTGGTTTGTCTGGCTTGCAACATTTCTTCTCCGTTGGGCCACTGGTCAGCATTAGTGCTGCAGGAATATAGGTGCGTGCTCTGGACACAAGTGAGAATGAGACTTTTAAGCAGCAGCCAAGGAGAAAGCAATCTGTATTTGCTTGGTGGAAATAAAATTTTACTGCTCTGTGAGCCAGGCTTATTAATTCAGAGTAGGGAAAGGAAATTGGCAAAGTCTGGCACCTTTTATTTGATAAAGTGACCAGCCACCTGAAGCAGGCATGTTTTTAAGAACCTGGGTGAAAACGCTCGCCGCGTGAGGATGGAAGAGGGGGTGAGCAAGTTGGATTTTTGAAAGAACAATGAATGCCACATTCTGTTTATTCTACATAGTGCTGTCTCCTATGAAACAATGTTGAATTTCAAAATTGTTCTCTATTGGAAACTGTTTTAAAGACTACCTTTCTCTGTTACAAAGAGAGGGTGCTAGGATAGGGAGGAGAAAGGAGAGGATCTCTGTCATAGTTATTTAACATTAAAGCTTTAACTGTATGGCTCAGCGTATATCAGGTGGATATTATCCTGTTGGGTTATATAATGTTTAAGTAGACTTGGACATTATCTTTGTTCCTGTTCACATGTCATTTCATTTTTAGGTTAAAAAACCCCCAGATTTACTAGGTAAGAATTACTCCCTTCTTTTTCCTTTCTTTCTTTCTTTCTTTCGAGAGAGAAAGAGGGGGAGAGAGAGAGACAGCGCGCATGTGAGCAATCAGGGGAGGGGCAGAGAGAGACAGGGAGAAAGAGAATCCCAAGCAGGCTCCATGCTGCCAGTGCAGAGAGCCTGATGTGGGACTCAAACTCATGAACTGTGAGATCATGACCTGAGCCAAAACCCAAGAGCTGCATGCTTAACTGACTGAGCCACCCAGGCACCCCTCACTCCCTTCTCTTTCAGTTCAGAAAGGATGGTTACTTACAGACTACACTGAATCTTTGAGGTCCTATGGAAACATGGTAAAGCTTGATTGAAAATTTTCAGACTACAAAAATAACATCACCTCCACTTTCTTCCCCTCTTCTATCCATTTCTCTTATAAAAACAAGATAGAGAAAGTATATCTTCTCGGTTCTTCTTTCTCATCTCCTTTTCCACTTCGGTCTATATGTAAGGCATACATTATTCATCCTCCACTAGTTCATTTAATAATCTCCCTTCCTTTTTTCCCTTCACACCCACGGTCTATAAATTAGCATCTGCGATATATAGATTCTAAATAGAAGGTGGAAGTCTGCCTTACAATCTGGAACATTTCTTATGTTATTTCTCGTTTAAAGTAAAGCAAAATCTGCAAGTATCATATCAGTCAGGATTCCGACAGGGAAGCAGGGCCACCATGGGTATTCTAGGAATAAAACCTTTCGCAGATGTGGGAAGTGCTGGGGAAGTGAATGTCTGGAAGGAGGAATCCCGCGATCAGAGAGTCATTAGCCACTCCTGGAAGCATTGGTGCAGTTGCAGCATTCAGAGTTTTCAGGAAAGTTCAAGAAGCCAAGTGCATCCAGCTGCCCAAGCTGGGCAGTGAAGGGGAGGTTCATGGAGAGGTTTACGGTCACAGAAGCTGTGGCCTCTGCGTAACTCCTGCTACAGTGTGTGTGGGACTACAGACAAGTCCCCGGTGGTGGGCCTGAGGCAGCTGTTGACTAGCAGAGCCAACAGTAGGAAATGGAAGCTGGGAGTGGAGCCGGTGAGAGCCGAGAAGCTTGGATCTGCTGGGCACCTCTGTTTCTGAGCATCACTGTATTTGACGGGAAACCCGCCAAACGTAGTGACTGCCGCTCGTCTTCTGCCCCGCAAGAGCCACACAAGTTCCTCTTGGCCAACTCTAACCCCAAATCACACAAGGGAGGGGCTTCTAGGAAATGTAGTTCCCTGCCTTAATCAAGTTGCCAAAGTACAATTCAGCACAGCACCCACTGCCATGATAACTGAAATGGCATCACACACAAAAGCCATTTAAAGAAAAAAATTTTAACGTTTATTTATTATTGAGAGACAGAGAGACATAGAGCGTGAGCAGGGGAGGGGCAGAGAGAGGGGGAGACACAGAATCTGAAGCAGGCTCCAGGCTCCTAGCTGGCAGCACAGAGGCCGACGCGGGGCTCGAACCCACGAACTGGGAGATCATGACCTGAACTGAAGTCGGTCGCTTAACCAACTGAGCCACCCAGGCGCCCCACAAAAGCCATTTTTAAATTACTCTTCTGTTCTGATGTCCGTCAGCTCAGAATTTAAAATGCATAAGTATGCCATCCTTTTACTATGGCTAAGTATCCCAGCTTTCGGTGGTGTTGGACCTGGCGGGATACTGCAGTATGGAGGGGGTGGTGTGTGCTGAGGAGCTCATAGGGTTCCCAGTTGTGGCTCTGACTCATATGTAATATGTAACCTCCGGCAGATCCTTCCCCTCCATGCCACTTGTTTCCCTCACCTTAAAACGGGCAGAACTGTACCCAGTTGGCTTTTGTAGGGTTCAAATGAGATCATGAAAGTGAAAGCACTTGGTAAACTGCTAAATCCCGTGATGGTTGTAAGTCCCATTATTCCAAGGGATATTCTTCAGCTTGGCAAATGTTTAGAGCTTATGTATAAAACAGATGCTCAACAGTAACTGTGAGATGAATTAATTATTGAATGAACATGACTCGGCATCATGGAAAAAGAATCTAAGGTGTTGGTGAGGATATAATCTCCGATATGGAAGCTGCTAGAGAATGCCTTTACTCAACAAAGTTGGCATACCCCATGGACCCTCATCAGTGGCATGATGACTCAGAAGTTTCCCTGCCCTTACAGAGATCCATCTATTTTCTAGTTAACAAAGAGTAAGGGGGCCATAAATCATCTTCATCACCATCATCATCACCATTTATTGCCCGAAGGTCCAGAATACACTGGAACAGAGCACTGCTGATGGGAGAGGGATTAGCGTTGACCTCCCTGGATGGTAATTTGGAGGTTTGGCTCATGACCTAGTAATTGTACTTCTGTGAGTTTATCTGAAGGAAGTGCTCCAATATATACAAATGTGTAAGTGCATTCTAGAGGTGAGCAAACTTCATCTCACCGTTGGTTGTGCCTTGCGTTTTCAGGAAGCACCCATAGGAACCTTGACGGTATATTCTAACTGGGGAGAACTTAGACGGGCATAATGTAAGCCAAGAGAGGTGGCAAGAACATGTGGAGCTCCTGGGGCTCCTGGGTGGCTCAGTCAGTTGAGCGTGTGACTCTTGATTTTGGCTCAGATCATGATCTCGCAGTTCCTGAGATTGAGGCCCGTGTTGGGCTCTGTGCTGACAGTGTGGAACCTGTTTGGGATTCTCTCTCTGCTCTCCTCTGCTCACTCTTGCTCCCTCTCACAAAATAAACAAATAAACGTTAAAAAAAAAAAAAAAAGAGAGAAGAACATGTGGAGCTCCTCCTCTGTGTCAACTCCTTGTCGGGATTACGAGAAACAGCAATAAACAAAACAGACCAGGTCCTGCCCAGAGAGAGACAATACAAACATGAACAGTGTAATCAAATCTCAGGTTAAGTACCACGCGGGAAAATAAAGCAGTGTCAAGGATTACAGAATGATGTGGGTGCTCTTTTTAGATAAAGTGGTCAACGTAGGCCTCTTTGAGGTAGTGCCATTTGCTCAGCAACATGAATGAACAGAGGCAGGATATTATACTATTGTCTGGGGGCAGAACATTTCAGGAAGGGAAGCAAGTGCACAGGCCCCAAGATGAGAAGGAGTGCCTTTATTTAAGGGACAAAAGGGAGGGGCGCCTGGGTGGCTCGGTTGAGCGTCCGACTTCAGCTCAGGTCATGATCTCACGGTTCGTGAGTTTGTGAGTTCGAGGCCTGCGTCAGGATCTGCTGTCAGCACAGAGTCTGCTTTGGATCCTCTGTCTGCCTCTCTCTGCCTCTCCTCTGCTCATTCTCTCTTTATCTCAAAATAAACACATAAACTTAAAAAAAAAAATCTTAAAAAAAACAAAAGGGACAACAGGAGGACCAGTGTGGTTATACCACACTGGGCAAGTGGAGACGGTGATAGTAGCTGAGGTTGGAGAGGGAGCCAGGTTACAGACCACGCTGGCTTTTGCTTTGGGTCAAGTCATATGGGAATCCATTGGAATGTTTTGAACTGGAGCGTGACTTTTGCTGGCTTACGTAGCTAAAGGATATTCATATCATAGATGGGCAAGAGTGGAAGCAGAGATACCAGTTGGCATCAGATGGAGTGGGCCATAAAGGTGGCTATCAGGAATTCTGGGACCAGGATAGGTTAGTGGTGGAGGAGGTGAAGGGTAGTCAGAGCCAGCCTTTCCTTTGAAGTCAGAGCTGAAGGAATTTCCTACCAGGTCAAGTATAAGGTGTGATAGAAAGACAAGAGTCAAAGATGACTCCAAGGTTTTGGCCTGAGCAAGTGGAAGAACTGAGCTGCCATTTACTGAGATGGGGACTACCAGGCGAGGAACAAATTTGGGAGTAATGCAAAATTTAGTTTTGGAAAGGTTAACTTTCAGATGCATATTAAGCATCCAAGTGAAGATGATGAGGAAGCAATTGGGCATATGAGCCTAGAGGTCAGAGCAGAAGATATAAATTTGAGAATTGAGGGGTGCCTGGGTGGCTTGAGTCGGTTAAACGCGCAACTCTTGGTTTCAGCTCAGGTCATGATCTCATGGTTTGTGAGTTCAAGCTCTGTGCCAGGAGCTGGGTTGGCAGCATGGAGCCTGCTTGGGATGCTCTCTCTCCCCCCACCACTCTCTCTGCCCCTCCCCAGCTCTCTCCCTCTCAAAATATATAAATAAAGTTAAAAAAAACAAGTTTGAGAATTGTTAGTGTATAGAGGGTACTTATAGCCATTAGACTGGGTGAGATCATTTGGGAGTGAGTAAAGATAGAGAGAAGGTCTCAAGTCTCAGTTCTGGAACACGCTGATGTTTATAAGTCAGAGAGAGGACAATGAGCCAGTAAAGGAAGTTGAGGAGTAGCCAGTAAGGAAGGAAGAAAACCAGGAGAATGTAGTGTTTTAGAAGCCAAA